TTCTATAAACCCTTTAGATATTTAGTTTCCTTATTACTAGTGATTTCTAGATTGTTTAGCACTTTAATTATTTATTGCTTTATTAGGAGATTTAGATTGATTAGGGCTAGATTTATTTGTAGCCTATATAAAGGCCCATGCCCTTGTTATTTTTCATCCTCAAATTATTAATAAAAATTCCGAACTTTGTGTTCAATTCTTATGTTAGATTTCTCTTGAATTTTATCGTAAAATCCTTGTCTCGAAAAGGGCGTTCATCGCATAGTTCGAGCAAGAAGAGTTTGGCAAGGATCCGTCCAAGCTGTCTCACCTATCGCGAGAAGACAAGAAGGTTAACCTCTGAATCGTCCGCACCCACGTCCGAGGATCGAAACTCACGCCAAGTCCGAGAAAAGTCACGAGTCATGACACGCAATTATTCATCATTGGTGCTTTCATTGAGAGTATCAATCGCATGTTCTTCCGTTTCATCTCTTTAAATTAATTTATGAGTCTAAAAAAAAATGGCCAAAGAAACGAAGGAAAAGCTTAGAGATTTCGAGCTAAGATGACGAGTCTTAGCGAGGGGTTAGAAGCCACCAACACGTCCACGACGAACAACCTCACGTATCTCGAACGATCATTCCATAATTCCTAACAAACCATGATGGAGCCAATGAACCAGCGGATTGATGAGGTGCTACGCCTCGTACGGCAACCGCACGATCACTGGAGTACGAACGCGAGCGGGCGGAATACGAGGAGAGCGAAGACGACTTCGATCGTTGATCTCATGCCTCGACCAACGTAGAGCGACCTAGGGTCGAGAAGCTGAGGATGGTGCTATCCACTTTCAATGGATCAAATCCAGACGCGTGGTTGAACCGAGTCGTGCAAATTTTAATCTCAATGAGATCGCTCGGGCCGAATGGGTAGGGTACACGACTTACTATTTGGATGGCGAGGCTAATGTTTGGTGGCAGTGGCTCTCGAGTACTTACCAAAACAAGGATGAGCCAGTTAGATGGGAAAATTTCAAGAGGGAGCTCATCACGAGATTTGGCGCATCGGACTACTACAACTATGACGAGGCTCTCGCGCATATCAAGAAGACGGAGAGCCTTCGAGACTACCAACGAGAGTTCGAGCGCATCGCTTGTCGCGTACGCGGATGGCCCGAGGGAGCGCTTGTTGGGGCATTCGTGGGAGGTTTGAAGTTTGATCTACTCGTGGAGGTAAGATTGGAGAGGCCAGCAACGATGCATGAAGCCATGGAGATTACGCGCAGGAGTGATCTGGCCGTGATGCGAAGGGTCGGGCGCAACGACGTCCGCTTTACCGAACAGCAGCGACAGATAAACAGCGCGCCTAACCCCATCCGAAGCGCGAGTAGCGGACCGCCTAGAAATTTCAGGCCGCGACCGCCGGAGGTGAGGAACTTGTCCTTTGAAGAGATGCGAAGAAGTCGAGAGAAGGGGTTGTGCTTCAAGTGCAAGGAGAAGTTCACACCGGGCCACAGATGCAAACAAACTTTTATATATGTGTATATGTGTGTGTGTATATATATATATATATATATATATATATATATATGCGTGTGTGCATATATATATTATAAGAAAAATAATATGTATTATATATATATGTGTGTGTGTGTATCTATATATTATAACAAACATAATATAACATTTAGAACTTTGTCAGTATTAAAATTTGAACCATTAATGAAATTTCCAAGTGAAATTTCCCATGGATATTCTAACTTAAACAATTGCAATTGAATATAATGGAGAATTTTTTCTTTTTGGAATTGGAAAAGTTGAACCTAGAAGCTTGTTTCACATTCAATCTTAGACAAGTGTTTATTCATGAAATTTAAAGAAGTAATTTATTTATTTCTTTTTTTTTTCAGATTATATGTTGGTCATATTATAATATCTAGATTTCCTTCTCTGGTTGCAAAAAAATATTTCAGGGATTATGTGAAGATACAGAAACGGTATGTCGTGGGGAGGATAGCTGAAACGGGTCACCGATTTTAACCAACTATGACCTGATTGATGGGATTTGTTATGACATTTTAACAACTCTGAACCAGTCCGACCTTGCTATAAGTCCGCAATTAAACCAAACGGGTTTAAAAAATATTTGACAAGGTAAAAGAGAAACGTTCAGCACCATCAGAAACAGAAACAAACCCCAAATAGTTTGATAACGTACGTTCGATCTAAACAAATTCAAGAATAAGCGCACCAACTTTGATTCAAACATACCAATCCAATAACTAAATCTCAAGTAAATCGTGAAAAGAAGTGATATCCAGGATTCGTTGCATCATACGAAGATGGATACGTGACACCCTACAAAAAAGATTTTTTTACACTATTTGTATATTGCTAGAAGCGGATATTGCCTAACTAACTCGGAGAAAACAATGTCAAAACCACCGAGTGTAGTCATTTGAAGAATGGATACGAACCAAGTAACCAACGAGACAATTGCACAGTCATCGAATGTTTTTCTTTAATATACGAAGTTCGATATACGAGGTTCGAAACGATTGAAGAGAATCATGTCAGGTATTTTTAAATAAACATGTCAAGTACACATTATTTATAATACTTTATTTAATTTTGTGCATATGCACCAGATATGATATATAATTAATTAAGATAAAGAGAGAACATTAACATTAAACAATACGTTTCACTTAAAAGTTAGGCCGAGTGAAACGTATTGTTTAATGTTTATGTTCTCTATTTATCTTAACTAGTTATATATCTAGTGCATATGCACAAAAATTAAATAAAGTATTATAAATTATATGTGCCTAAAATGTTTATTTATAAATACCTAACATGATTCTTTTCAATAGTTTCAGGCATCGTATATCAAAGAAAATCAAAGAAAATCATTCGATGGTTGCGCAATACATTTGTTTACTTGGTTCGTCTCTATTCTTCAAAGGAGTGCACTCGATGGTTTAAACATTGTTCTTCGAGTCCGTTAGGAAATATCCGCTTCCAGCAATATACAAATAGTGTAAAAAAATCTTGTTTGTACGGTGTTATGTATCTCTTCGTATGGAATCTTGGAGACCACTTGCTTTCACGATTTACTTGAGATTTAGTTATTGGATTGGTATGCTTGATTCAAAGTTGATGCGCTTATTTTTTGATTTGCTTGGATTGAACATACGTTAACAAACTATTATGTAGGCTTTGTTCCAGTTTCTGATGGTGCTTATCGTTTTTCTTTTCTTTGTCAAATATTTTTTAAACTCGTACCGTTTGGTTTAATTGGGGACCTATAACAAGGTCGGGCTAGTTCTAAGTTGTTAAAATGTCCATAATAAAACCCATCAACCGGCTCAAACTTGGTTAAAACCTATAACCCATTTAATCTATCCTCCCCATTTGTATCTTTTGTACAAGTTTTTTTTTTTCTTTGAACGGTATAACCATTACACAAAACACATGCATATCTTATAGTTCTAACTGATGTTAACTTGCATCAATTTAATTGTAACATATAGTTAACCGTGAAATTGTTACATTGTTATCTCTATTGAGTATGAAGTTATGAAAAGAGGGCTTTGAAGTCTTGAATGAATGAGAGTTGCATCATATACACTATAAATATGTTGTTTTGTGCATCGCTTAAGGGGCATAATTTTATTTTTAGTCCACGATATTGGTCACTTTCTAGCAAAGGTCTACCTTTTTTGCAGACATCAAACTTACTACATTAATTTGAAAAATTCATCAAATAAGATACATTAGTCATTAGTATTACTGTTAGTGGCAGGATAAAACTCGGCGTTTTCTTTTTTATATAATTCGAAGAGAGAACTGTCTGGTATCCATTTCCAATTCAAGTGGATGACCTACCGTTGGATTCTTCTCGTCGAGACAATCGTATCCATAAATTTTTAGCCCAATTATAGTTGATTTGCCAACTCAATTTTTCATCCAAAATCATTTGAGTTATTTCCTCCGATTTGATTACGATGCCATATAACATCCAGCTTAGGTGAGTGACTCACCAACGGATTCTTCTTGAACCGGTCATACTCACAAAATTTGATCTTAATTGGAGTTCGTTTGCCTGCTCAATTTGTCATCCAAAATAATTTTAACCCAAATTTGTTGTTATCTATCTAGTTTGGTGCCTTATGGTCTACGTTCTAGTCTGTTGACTAACCGTTGAATTTGTCTCATTAATACGATCGTAACTACAAATTTGTAGCTCAATTAGATTTCATTTATCCAGTCAATTTTTTCTCCGATTTGATTACGATGCCATATAACATCCAACTTAGGTGAGTGACTCACCAACGGATTCTTCTTGAACCGGTCATACTCACAAAATTTGATCTCAATTGGAGTTCGTTTGCCTGCTCAATTTGTCATACAAAATAATTTTAACCCAAATTTGTTGTTATCTATCTAGTTTGGTGCCTTATGGTCTACGTTCTAGTCTGTTGACTAACCGTTAAATTTGTCTCATTAATACGATCGTAACTACAAATTTGTAGCTCAATTAGATTTCATTTATCCAGTCAATTTTTTCTCCGATTTGATTACGATGCCATATAACATCCAGCTTAGGTGAGTGACTCACCAACGGATTCTTCTTGAACCGGTCATACTCACAAAATTTGATCTCAATTGGAGTTCGTTTGCCTGCTCAATTTGTCATCCAAAATAATTTTAACCCAAATTTTTTGTTATCTATCTAGTTTGGTGCCTTATGGTCTACGTTCTAGTCTGTTGACTAACCGTTGAATTTGTCTCATTAATACGATCGTAACTACAAATTTGTAGCTCAATTAGATTTCATTTATCCAGTCAATTTTTCATCCAAAATAATTTAGGTTGTTCTACTTTTTGCTTAATTATGGTGTCATCTCACATCAGTTTCAAGTATGTGAACCACCGTTGAATTCTTTTCGTCGAGACGGTCATATAAACAAAAAAAATTTAAATGAAATGGATTATGTTTGCTTAGTTAATTGCCCGTTAAAAATTATATGCACAAACTACATTTCCGGCCCGTGATTTGCCAGCATCGATCCCGTGATAATCGGGTCTTTATCTTATCTTGCCACTAATGATTAATCAACTTGTTTATATAAATTTTTCAAATTTATGTACAAAATTTGATGTCTGCCAAAAAGGTGGACATTTGCTAAAAATGAATAAAATAATGAACTAAAAATGAAATTTTGCCTCTCTAAAAGGGTTACAATACGAGGCAAAAAAAAATAAAACAAAGAAATACAAAAATATTTTTATAGTGTTATTTTTCTTTAAAGAGTTGAAACCATCAAAAGATAGCTCGGGTTTCAGAGTAAGAAGGATACCAACAAAATAAACGGGAAACTTTCACTATAAAAGGTCATCATATGTATTTATATATATGTTGTATAAAACTACCAACACATTTGCATAGTACTACATATTTTCCATGCATTCAGATCCCATCAAAGTTCAATTAATAAAATTAAAATGCATACCTTACTCCACTGGGGCATGGGACGTGTGCATTATCATTGTCCAATTTTAAGCCCAAACCTTAATTCGTGTCATCGGATCAAATCTCTTCCTCGCCTCACCTCGGATCCCTGAAAGCCTTTTATTAAGAAAAATATTCCCTCAAGATTATTTGAAATTTTACAAGTAAAAAAATACATGTTCAACTACAAGTATGCAGCTTGAATAAATATAAATGGTCTTATTGTTCTTACGGATGAGCAACATCATGGCAAGACACAACTGGCATTTTCCAATCCAGTTGGGTTCTTTGAATTCTTCATATGTACTCTCTCTCTCTCTCTCTCTGAAACTTGGTCTGTCGAAAGCCAGAATCCACCACAGCCAAGCAGCATTGACACTGGAGTTCGACGTGTTCAGGCCTTGTTGCGCATTAGCGTAAGATTCTTTCTCATTCTACCCAAAAAAAAAAAGGAATAGAAAATAATGATTTTCTTGTAGAAGTATTCTACAATTTCTTGTTCAGCATATGCCAACAACTCCATCTATGACAAACCATAGCTAGACCTCGCCCAATTAATACCAATCTGTGCTTTTATATATGTGTGTATATGTGTGTGTATATATATATATATATATGCGTGTGTGCATATATATATTATAAGATAAATTATATGTATTATATATAAATATATATATATATATGTGTGTGTGTGCATATCTATATATTATAACAAACATAATATAACATTTAGAACTTCGTCAGTATTAAAATTTGAACCATTAATGAAATTTCCAAGTGAAATTTCTCATGGATATTCTAACTTAAACAATTGCAATTGAATATAATGGAGAATTTTTTCTTTTTGGAATTGGAAAAGTTGAACCTAGAAGCTTGTTTCACATTCAATCTTAGACAGTTTTATTCATGAAATTTAAAGAAGTAATTTATTTATTTCTTTTTTTTTTAGATTATATGCTGGTCATATTATAATATCTAGATTTCCTTCTCTGGTTGCAAAAGAATATTTCAGGGATTATGGGAAGATACAGAAACGGTATGTCGTGGGGAGGATAGCTGAATCGGGTCACCGATTTTAACCAACTATGACCTGATTGATGGGATTTGTTATGACATTTTAACAACTCTGAACCAGTCCGACCTTGCTATAAGTCCGCAATTAAACCAAACGGGTTTAAAAAATATTTGACAAGGTAAAAGAGAAACGTTCAGCACCATCAGAAATAGAAACAAACCCCAAATAGTTTGATAACGTACGTTCCATCTAAACAAATTCAAGAATAAGCACATCAACTTTGATTCAAACATACCAATCCAATAATTAAATCTCAAGTAAATCGTGAAAAGAAGTGATATCCATGATTCGTTGCATACGTGACACGTACAAAAAAGATTTTTTTACACTATTTGTATATTTCTAGAAGCGAATATTGCCTAATGAAATCGGAAAAAACAATGTCAAAACCACCGAGTGCAGTCATTATTGCACAGTTATCAAATGTTTTTCTTTAATATGCGAGGTTTGATATACGAGGTTCGAAACGATTGAAGAGAATCATGTCAGGTATTTATAAATAAACATGTCAAGTACACATTATTTATAATACTTTATTTAATTTTGTGCATATGCACTAGATATATAATCAATTAAGATAAACAGAGAACATAAACATTAAACAATACGTTAAACAATACGTTTCACTCGGTTTCACTTTTAAGTGAAACGTATTGTTTAATGTTAATGTTCTCTATTTATCTTAACTACTTTATATCTGGTGCATATGCACAAAATTAAATAAAGTATTATAAATTATATGTGCCTAAAATGTTTATTTATAAGTACCTAACATGATTCTTAAAATAAAGTATTATAAATTATATGTGCCTAAAATGTTTATTTATAAATACCTAACATGATTCTTTTCAATAGTTTCAGGCATCGTATATCTCTTCGTATAGAATCTTGGAGACCACTTTCTTTCACAATTTACTTGAGATTTAGTTATTGGATTGGTACGCTTGATTCAAAGTTGATGCGCTTATTTTTTTATTTGCTTGGATTGAACATACGTTAACAAACTATTATGTAGACTTTGTTTCAGTTTCTGATGGTGCTTATCGTTTTTCTTTTCTTTGTCAAATATTTTTTAAACTCGTACCGTTTGGTTTAATTGGGGACCTATAACAAGGTTGGGCTGGTTTTGAGTTGTTAAAATGTCCATAACAAAACCCATCAACCTGCTCAAACTTGGTTAAAACCGATAACCCATTTAAGCTATCCTTCCCATTTGTATCTTTTGTACAAGTTTTTTTTCCTTTGAACGGTATAACCATTACACAAAACACATGCATATCTTATAGTTTTAATTGATGTTAACTTGCATCAATTTAATTGTAACATATAGTTAACCGTGGATTGTCCATTGCAAATGGAGCTGGAAGAGTCATTGTTGACAATTCTCCTGGCATAGTGCTAATAATGGACTAGATCAAAATGGCTCAATTAAATTCTAGTGCTTCTTCTATTAGTGAAGTTTCTAGAAAAAATATATCAAACGGCGCAATGCACCTTGGGTCGTTACGGAAACAACCTCCTTGTATAATTACAAGGGTAAGGTCTGCGTACAACTGACCCCCCAGACCCCAACCTGTTGAGAATATACTGGATATGTTGTTGTATATAGTTAACCGTGGAATTGGTACATTGTTATCTCTATGGAGTATGAAGTTATGAAAAGGCTTTGAAGTCTTGAATGAATGAGAGTTGCATCATATACACTATAAATATGTTGGTTTGTGCATCGCTTAACGGGCATAATTTTATTTTTAGTCCACGATAATAGTCACTTTCTAGCAAAGGTCTACCTTTTTGCAGACATCAAACTTACTACATTAATTTGAAAAATTCATCAAATAAGGTACACTAGTCATTAGTATTACTATTAGTGGCCCGATAAAACTCGACGTTTTCTTTTTGATATAATTCGAAAAGAGAACTGTCTGGTATCCATTTCCAATTCAAGTGGGTGACCTGCCGTTGGATTCTTCTCGTCGAGACAATCGTATCCATAAATTTTTAGCCCAATTATAGTTGATTTGCCAACTCAATTTTCCATCCAAAATCATTTGAGTTTTTTTCTCCGATTTGATTACGATGCCATATAACATCTAGCTTAGGTGAGTCACTCACCAACAGATTCTTCTTCAACCGGTCATACTCACAAAATTTGATCTCAATTGGAGTTCGTTTGCCCGCTCAATTCGTCATCCAAAATAATTTTAACCCAAATTTGTTGTTATCTATCTTGTTTGATGCCTTATGGTCTACGTTCTAGTCTGTTGACTAACCGTTGGATTTGTCTCATTAATACGGTCGTAACTACAAATTTGTAGCTCAATTAGATTTCATTTATCCAGTTAATTTTTCATCCAACCAAAATAATTTAGGCTGTTCTACTTTTTGCTTAATTATGGTGTCATCTCACATCAGTTTCAAGTATGTGAACCACCGTTGAATTCTTTTCGTCGAGACGGTCATATAGACAAAAAATTTAAATGAAATGAATTTTGTTTGCTTACTTAATTGTCCGTTCAAAATTATATGCACAATCTACATTTCCGGCCCGTGATTTGCCAGCACCGAGCCCGCGTGATAATCTGGTCTTTATCTTATCTTGCCACTAATGATTAATCTACTTGTTTTGATAAATTTTTCTAATTTATGTCCAAAATTTGATGTCTGCCAAAAAGGTGGACATTTGCTAAAATGACTAATATAAATGAAATTTTGCCTCTCTAAAAAGGTTACAATACGAGGCAAAAAAATAAAACAAAGAAATACAAAAATATTTTTATAGTGTTATTTTTTCTTAATGAGTTGAAACCATCAAAAGACAGCTCGAGTTTCAGAGTGTGAAGGATACCGACAAAGTAAACGGGAAACTTCCACTACAAATGTATTTATATATATGTTGTATAAAACTACCAACACATTTGCATAGTACTACATATTTTCCATGCATTCAGATGCCTTCAAAGTTCAATTAATAAAATTAAAATGCATACCTTACTCTACTGGGGCATGAGACGTGTGCATTATCATTGTCCAATTTTAAGCCCAATCCTTAATTCGTGCCATCGGATCAAATCTCTTCCTCGCCTCACCTCGGATCCCTGAAAGCCTTTGTTTAAGAAAAATATTCCCTCAAGATTATTTGAAATTTTACAAGTAAAAAAATGCAAGTTCAACTACAAGTATGCAGCATGAATAAATATAAATGCTCTTATTGTTCTTACAGATGAGCAACATCATGGCATGACACAACTGGCATTTTTCAATCCAGTTGGGTTCTTTGAATTCATCATATGTACTGTCTCTCTCTCTTTGGAACTTTGTCTGTCGAAAGCCACAATCCAATCCACCACGGCCAAGTAGCATTGAGGCTGGAGTTCGACGTGTTCAGGCCTTGTTGCGCATTAGCGTAAGATTCTTTCTCATTCTACCAAAAAAAAAAGGAATATAAAATAATGATTTTCTTGTAGAAGTAATCTACAATTTCTTGTTCAGCATACAACTCAATCTATGACAAACCATAGCTAGAACTTGCCCAATTAATACCAATTTGTGCTTTTATATATGTGTATGTGTATATATATGTGTATATGTGTGTGTGTATATATAGTGTGTATATATATTATAAAAAAAATAATATGTATTACATATAAATATATATGTTTGTGTGTATCTATATATTATAACAAACATAATATAACATTTAGAACTTTGTAAGTATTAAAATTTGAACTTTTAATGAAATTTCCAAGTGAAATTTGCCATGGATATTCTAACTTAAACAATTGCAATTGAAACTCTTCCCTCGATTGACAGCCGACGCGCTCAGTTAAGTATATGCCATCACGTTCATCTTTATCTTCAAGTGAGTCAACCACTCAATCTATTACCAGCCATAGATAAACATTGCCCAATTACTAGCCATCTATGCTTTAAANTTCATCAGCTTTGTATCCAATCTGAATTGAATTATTTCATGTGTATAATTCAAATAATATTTCAATAAGCTAACTAATCACTTGTCAATTTTGGAGATGATCAGCAAATAATCAGAAAAAAATGGTTGAATCAAGAAAATAAGAAAACATAAAAACAATATAGAATCATACCTGAGGCAGGATTAACGCTGAAATAACCAACAATATCGGCGGACTTATAGTCAGATCTATCATCTCGGATATGAGTGACGGAGAGATAGAGACTCCAGCAGGCCGTCACAGAAAAAGTCGCTCTTGTGAAATTTCTTCTAAGATTTTCAAGATTTAAGAATGACCAACGATTGGATCTTAGCGCCTGTGATAACGGAAAGGGTAACGGCAATGATAACTGGCGTGACGTCTTTAAAACAAGAAAATAAAATAGTAATCAACAAAGCTGCTCAAAACACCGAACCATCAACCATTCCAAACAAGATTTAAAAAACTCATTTCTTTTTTTTTCAGAAAACCAAAAGAAAAGTCAAAAGAGCCGCAAAAACTCTCAATTAACTCACCAAATGTCCAGATCTGAAGAATCCCTTTACAACCCTTCGAAACCCCTGCGATTAACCGACGGCCGGGACAACATACGGCGAAGTCCTTTTAACGGTAAGATTTTGGGTACCCACTAATCTTTCACCTCAAGCCACCAAAGGCCCAAAACCCCTTCTCTCTACACCATTTCTTGCTCTGTGCTCAGTCTTTATCGTGCTCTCTCTCTATATATATCTGCGAGTAAACTAGTGTTGTGCAGTATATATTTTATGGCTTCTAGTTTTCTTTTTTTCTTTCTTATGATTGCCTGAGCCCCTTTTCTTTAGACCGTCATGTTTCTAACCTAACCACAGTTGAGTTACCCCGTGAAGTGCGGTTAGGTTAAGCCAACCCGAGTTTTATAGCCTTGAACTGTGGAAGTCTCTAGAATAAGGGGGTCTCAGGCCGTCGGATGAGAATTGCGAAACGTATCTGGACCTCAGGACCTTTGCTTTCATGCTGAGCTGGAGGTTATGGATAGGGAGATGACGTGTCACAGCAAATCCATATGTTTTTTTTCTCCTTTTCATGCAATTTTTCGTGCACATAGTTCCGGATTTGACGCGAGAATTTGGATGAATGCATACAATCTATATCTATATTTATCACTTATCTATACTATATCTATCTATACTAATATAAAAAAATTGTTGGTAAAATATTTTATAGTAAGTTTGATTAAAAACTAAAAAGTTGACTAACTGTTAGTGGTAATTTAAAAAAAAAAAAAAACACATGTGAATATTTAAAAAATCAAATTTAATCATATTGTGAAACAATTTAGTCCGATTTTCTTTGTAACGCCCCGATTTTTATTTATATAATGCTCGACTATTTTAAAATTAAGGTAATATTTTATTTAGATAATGCTCGATTATTCTAGCTTATTTCATTAAGCTAATATTTTATTTAAATCAAGCTCGACTATAGCTTCCTTTAGTAAACCCTTCATTTTGAGTCTCAATTTTCGAGTAAGTCGAGAACTATTCGAACGAGATTTTATCTTGAAGTTGAATAATTTTCTAGTCAAAGTATCGGTTCATTTTGTTCGAAAATGACCATGGGTATAGCCATTATTATTCCTTAGTTGAGCCGGGAATATTTTTCTTAGTCGAGATGAGTTTCGGGTCCGAGAATAATCAAGAAATCGCGCGAAAACGAATTTCGGCTAAATCGCCCGCGCCGGGCCAACCGGACGCCCAGCAGGCCAGCAGCACGCGCCAGACCCGACCAAAGGTACATATTTAATATTTTTTCAATCATATCAACAAAGGGTCTTTATATTTGCACTTTTTTAAAATCTATTATATTTTACAATTGCGGATTGCATCTACATATGACATTGATAGCTATTCTGTTAACAATTTTTTTTAGAAGATTTATTAGATACATACGAATTTAGTTACAGACGAATCATTTTCATTTTATCATGATTCTTTTTTATGGTAATGGTTTTGTGGAGTATTTTATCTTCATAGTAACTTATTTAAAATTGAGTGATTTGGAGTGGAATTCAAATCATTTTGAACGTAACAATATTTATTTTAAGATTATTTTTCAATATCTTCTTATGAATCTATATCCATATCTATATATATAATAAGAATGAACATTTAACAAAAATAGTAGCAAAAAAATAGGAGAGAATTTATTTCAACCTATAAATAGTAAGTTTTATTATTTTTTTTATTTTTATCTTTAAAAAATCATACAACATTAAATGTTGCATTAAATTTTGGGCTTTAATTCATTTTATTATTTAAAAATTTCAGCTAAGATCTATTAAGTGTGCATTTTTAATTTTTTTTATAAAAATAATGAAGAACATTAAAATCTCAGGCTCTATATTTATAAAATCTCACTTCAAAAGGTAATAAAAATTTTAGAATCAGGGACGGATCTAGAAAAAAATTTGGAGGGGGGCGGGGGTGACTAGAACTGTAAATCGAACAAAATTATCTGCGAACATAACTCGGTCTGACTAACAGGAGATACATGGACTACATGTTTTATTTATAAAATAGTTTAGAAATATTTTAGGTGACTTCACATCTTTCGATAATGATATATAAAATTTTAGATACTTCACATACGTTATATAATATTTTAGGTGTTTTTAATATTTTAAACATACATTTTTTATATTATTTTATACAAGATAATTTTATATTGTTTACAACTGATATACGATAAATTATGTCACGTATTAACTCCACAAATTAATTACAATTTTTAGTTAATATTGTTTACCCTCATATTTAATTTATAATTATTAGTTAATATTGTTTACTATCATCGTTAATTTATAATTATTATTTAATATTGTTTACCCGTGCATCGCACGGGCTACACACTAGTTTATATAATAAGTCATCATATTTACTAAATTTAGTAGTAAGAAAAGTCAAAGGACAATTAATGCATTCTATTTCCATCATTTTTTCAATTGTATTATTATTTTATAGCTAAAAAATCGGTCTGCATTAATTTCATCCTTAATTGATGTGTTTTGCAATTAAATCGGACAGATAGACTCCAAGTAAATACATGTCTCATTTCAAATTTAAGTTAAATCTTAAAATTTCTTATTATTTTGTTACATTAAAATCTTAAATGAATTGTTTGCCATAAAATCGGACAAAATAATAATTGCATAGAATTCAAGTAAAAGCATGTCTCATTTAAAATTTAAATTTTAAAATTCTTTATCATTTTGTTACATTTCCAAGTGATTTGTTTCCCATAACCTCGGACGGAATTAATACTTGCATAGAGTTTAAGTATGATTTCGAATTTATATCGAGAATGTTTAATAATTGCATAGAATTTCAAATATGTTTATTTATTATAAAAAAAATTAAATTCTAAAAAAACATTTGTGTATATTTTGTAAAATGTTTGTACAATGTTTTACTTTAAATTTATTTACATAATTTAATACATTAATAAATAATATTAACATGCATTAAATATTTTAATTACATAAAACAAAAAGAAGAAGAAGACTACATCTATAACTTGTACAAAAAATAATAATGACATTATATTACAATAAATTTTATAATAAAATAATATGAGTATTATACGAGAAATAAGATTACGTAAAATTGTTATTTTTCTTATATCAAGGAATAAATATATATAATGAAATCAAATATATATTATTATAAACATGTGAGCTAGATAATATATTAATTAATTTACGGGCTAACGCTACCGGACTCAGGTTTAATGTCTCGACAAAAAAGATGACGTTGATGACAGAGGTAAAAAAATAGATGATCAAACTCTATTATTTTTTAGGCCTGAACTGACAAGCCCTATTGTTCACTCATTTAATATCTCCCGTGAATCGGACGAGCTACTAACGGACAAACTCTGTGGAAATAACTCATTTAATACTTATGTCCCGTGCATCGCACGGGCTACGTACTAGTTTGGATGAATGCATACAGTCTATATCTATATTTATCTATACTATATCTATCTATACTAATATAAAAAAATTGTTGGAAAAATATTTTATAGTAAGTTTGATTAAAAATAAAAAGTTTGACTAACTGTTAGTGGTAATTTTAAAAAAAAAAAAAAAAAACACATGTGAATATTTAAAAAATCAAATTTAATCATATTGTTAAACAATTTAGTCTGATTTTCTTTGTAACGCCCCGACTTTTATTTATATAATGCTCGACTATTTTAAAATTAAGGCAATATTTTATTTAGATCATGCTCGATTATTCTAGCTTATTTTATTAAGCTAATATTTTATTTAAATCAAGCTCGACTATAGCTTCCTTTAGTAAACCCTTCATTTTGAGTCTCAATTTTCGAGTAAGTCGAGAACTATTCGAACGAGATTTTATCTTGAAGTCGAATAATTTTCTAGTCAAAGTATCGGTTCCTTTTGTTCGAAAACGACCATGGGTATAGCCATTATTATTCCTTAGTTGAGCCGGGAATATTTTTCTTAGTCGAGATGAGTTTCGGGTCCGAGAATAATCGAGAAATCGCGCGAAAATGAATTTCGGCTGAATCGCCCGCGTTGGGCCAACCAGACGCCCAGCAACCCAGGGTCGCGTCCAGGGCCAGGCCCAGCGCCCAGCGCGCCAGACAGCACAGGTCCACTAACCAAGCCCAAAACTCCATTTTTCAGCCCACTTTTCCCAAGCCCAAATTTGTGTGGACACAACCAGATAAATAAGGAGCATTATGTCCCCATGCACTTGAATATGGTGAAAGTCTTGTAATTTTGTCCCCTTTGACCCATTCAAACACTAGTTTTTTTAGAAAAAAAGATAATTGCATAAATCTTAACAAATTATTCTAATTTTTTATTAGAATTAATTTCAATTCAATTTATTTGCTAAAATAAATCGGTACAATGTTAGGAAAATTCGGTTGTAGTTTTAGAAAAAAATGATGATTATTTTCACTTTGTTGTAACAAAATATTAGGATCAATTTGTTTGGTAAAAAAAAAATCGGTGTATTGGTAGGAAAAATCTTTCATTTTTAGGAAAAACTAATGATTCTTTTCAATTTTCTTAATCCAATTTTTTAATTAGAATTTACAAAAATAAAATAAAATAAAATGGCATGAAAATCCCTAAAAGTATGTTTTTTTCTACAAAAAAAAATATTTAATAAATAAGATTTCATATATTTTTAAAGATGTCATTTGTTAACTAATAACTAATAATACACAAAAATTGGACTATATATTTGTTCAATAAAATAGATCATTAAAAAGAATGGCGTGAACATTTCTAAATAATATCGTTTGGGTTTGTTATCCACTTCAACTAATTCTTTTGTTGACGTATCAATCCATAAATCTAACTTAAAATTTGATTAGAACAATTCAAATAAAAATGAATCACATGATTTGTCCTTATCGTTTACATCAGTTTTGTCCTTATTTTTTACTCTATAAAATGTTCTAATATTATATCAACGAAATTCACATGACAAATACATATGCAATTAATTTTTGTCAATAAAATGTCACGGAATCAATATATATATATATAATAATAATAAGAATATGTTTAATTCATTTTTTGAATGCATTTCACGCCAAAAGCATTGATTACCTACTATAGATGAAAATAATATAATATAGGTTTAAATAAAAGAAATAAATCATTGTTGCATAGTTTTCATATAACTAGGCTTTCAGTTTATGTTTGTTTTAATCAATTCTCAATTTTCTTTATTTATGTCGATAGTTATAGATGGGCAAAGATTTTGTAAATAATTAGGCAACCGATTTCGGAATTCTCCTTTATGGATAATTCTTTTCTTTTATTTTAGTAGATTTATTAGAAGCGTAGATTTGTATTATCATATATGTTATGTATGTTTACCTAGGTGCCTTAAAGAGGGTCTTTGGCTGGCTGTTTTATCATCTATAGAAGAAGCGGTTCATCAGCCACTACATCTGTGGATCCCCCCAAATCATTAAACCTGGCGGCTGCTCGCTCTTTGATCAGTGATTCACCGGCCACTAGAGACAGTCACCTACTAGAATCAGTCTACCTACGCTACATTGTAGAGAGACGTTCGACTCCACGTGTCCGCTAAACAGTTCCGAAGTAGCAAGACGAGTGAATGAAGGTGCTGTAAAAATTAAAAATGCATAAAATATTATATAGCATATGTAAGATTATCTAAAATATTATATATTATTTTTAAAAAATGTCAGGTCGCCTAAAGTTGTAAATTGTTTTGTAAGTACAAAATGT